ACAACAATAACAACAAAAAACAATCACACTAAATAACTATAATTTTTAACGCTTGCCAAGGCTGGCGTAGCAAACAAAGGCCACAAGGCAAAAATCAAATCGAATTGCACACAAGTACAGCAATTCTTGTATGTTTTCTGGTTGGGTTTTCTTGCGGATTACGTGGCGCATACGCAATGCCAGCACTTTTCTTTATTACCGCTGTTTGCCGAGAGCATGTGCGGCACACGGATTTTGGGCAATTTGGTTCGCATCTCACACACACACACACTTCTGAAAAAGGTTTTTATTATGACGCACACACACACACACACACACAGAAAAGTGCCTGGGCAAATAGCAACTACTACTGCGCTCAGCTTTTTTATATGAATTACAATAATAAAAACCAAAAAGCAAACAAAGCAGCCACAGTCGCATTCGTCGTTCTCCGTTGGCTGGCGCTGGCATGCGTGAGGTGAGCCGGAGGTGAAGGCAAAGAATAAAATCATAAAAATTACGAAAGGTAAGAGACAGCTAAGAAAAACGACAACATGCGAAAAATGCGTTCAAGAAAAATCGCTGTAATAAAGCCAGTCGTCTGGGGCTCGGTGCGCGCTGCTGTGTGCTCTGCTCTGCTCTGCWGCAAATAAAACAATTTGAGTGGAAATAAAAAATAAAACAAAGTACCAGCCCAGCCCAGGTAGCCAACAAAAACAACATCTAAAGGTAGCTGGAAATGAGCGCTTAATACAACACCCCGAAATGTAACTGAAACGCAATCCTTTGTGAGAATAAACTGCGCAGCAAAGCGCCAGACAAACAGCCGGACAGACAGGCAGACACACAGACAGACAGAGAGACAAACACCGGCAAGAAACAAACAATGCTGCACGAAGCAGTCCTCATCGGCAGCATCCTCATCGTCATTCTTACCTCATCGTCTTCATGCCAAAGTAGAGCGCAACTTAAATTATTAATAACAAGCATAAGAAAAATAAATGTACGCGAATGAAGACAAGAAGACAAAAGGATCCAGCAAAGGAGCAGCTGAGTCGTCTGCCAACGGCACTTCGCTGCGCTTCACTTCGTAACCCGGAAGCATTGGCCGGTCAAAGTGCTGCACAGTTGGCATTAAGGTTTATGCCCTGGACAGTCTCCAGTCATGGCTACGCCGCTGACGGGTCGCAGGCGCGGACAGGGTGCATGCCAAAGTGGGTATATAGGTAGAGAGAGAGAGAGAGAGAGAGAGGCGACATACAGAAAGAGAGAGAGAGAGAGAGAGAGAGAGAGAGGGAGAGAAGGAGCAGCAACAACAAAATGAAGACGGAAGTTCTTAAACTCTGCGCAAAAGCGCTTATTGGCTGCTTGTTGTTGTTGGCTTGAAGATTTACGAAATCAGGCTAAATTAAATATAAATTACAGATCTGGACATGTTTTACCAATAACCCATTTCATTTCATTAAAGGCAAACACCATTGCACCAGATAGCTCTACAACAGCCTTAAATAACTTATTGTAATAGTGTATTGGTTGCATATTATTTTTTAAAAGCTTTCATATTCGATTTATAATAGAGTTATGGATAAAGAGTTCAAACTCAAACCAAAGTTGAAGACATCAATGTAGTCCGAAAGGAAAATTTTCCTACGAAATAAATATATAATTTTTTAAATTAAATACAGAAAAAAAAAAACCAGGGACCGCAAATAAGTGTTACGCATTTAAAAAAAAAATTGAGGCTCAATTTTTTTCCCATTTTTTTTGAGGAAAACACACATAAGGATATTTTTTTATAATTTTTTTTATAATTTTTTTTTAATTTATCAAAAAATAATAATTATTTTTAAATTTTTTCCTATAAAAGTTATAATCGTTACGGTCCCTGATAAATACATATCAGTTTATCTGTGGACCAGAATTTTCCCAGCAATAACTGTATAAATGTTATGAACATGAACACAAAATTATGATATTGACTTTATATGCACTTTGACTCAAGGCAAACTTATTTATATATATTGTAATAAAGAGCGTGCTACAATTTCACTATATATTATATTATATTATTGTAACTAAAATCATCAATGCAATTCAGCTGCAGCACTAATGATTGATCGTAATGTTTAACTTCAGGCAAATGAATTTCGTTTCTCAGGAAATCGAAAATTTGTTGAATATATTAAAAATAAATGAATTACCTATTGGTTTATAGATAGCAGCGAGCGAATAAATCAAATTTGTTGTTCTCTAAGATGTTATTTTATTAAACCCAAAACGTCCATTTTCATAGGCTGAATATGAGACTTCATAATGAAATTTTTTGTTTTTTTTTTTTTTCCCCCTCAAGACATAAACTCGCCCCCCAGACTCTAAAAGGTCTATATAATATGCATATCTCATTGTCTTATTTCTGGTTTTAAATACTATTTAGCCGACACACCTTTACAGCCATTTTTTTATGAGGCAAGGAGATAGATAGATGCTACTCCAACCACTCTGCACCACCTACAAAAGCCACCCAGTTTAATTCTCTGCTAGATGATTTATGCCGTGCGGTCAAGTGTAAGTTTCCGTTGATTCCTCGGGCGGGAAATTGGGTTTAACGGCCGTGGCTGGTGGCTCGTTAAATTTTGACCCCTCTAAGGCAACCCTCGCAGCTGCTATTGCTGCTGCTGCTGTTGTTGTTCTTGCTGTTGTTGTTGGTAGATGTGTCTGACGTTTTATTAAATAATTTTTGCCTTTGCTTTTTTTTATGAACTGCTAACCGGCCTGTTATCACCACGGCTCAGTCAGCGTCTACTTTGCGTGCTCTGATTTGCCTTAATTAGTCGAGTCAGATCCGAGCATGCCTATCAGCCAGTTAATGTTGCCCGATAATTAGCCGCGTGTCGTTCTTTAAGCTGTTTCGTTGTATACAAGAAAACAAATTTTAAACAGAGAGAAAGAGTGAGGGAAAAAATAACAAAAATTGACAACAGATTTATGAGCTGCCAATTAAACTTTGATCCCTTTGGACAACCGATACGATGATAGGCGCTAAATAATTTGTATTATAATTATGCGCTTACAAGCAAATTTCTGTATATAAATTTACTGGAAATGCTTTTTTGACAATTATTGCAAATTATTGGATAAATATGTTTTAAAATATTAGATTATGATACATTATAGCATTTAAAATTTTATTACTCTGGATCATTAAATTTATATCACGAAGTGTGAATGATGATACCCTGTTTTTCCCTCTTTATCTCATCAAAGCATAACTCACTCCCTCTGCCCCCTCATAAATAACAAAAAATACTATGTTGTCCTCCGTGTTGCTCTATGAATTTATACAAAACATATATTTCAGTCAAGCTCCATCGAGTGCTGCAGTTTATTTTTAAAAGCATTTGTCAGTAGTCAACAATTGACATCTCATGTTTCATTTATGTTCGATTGAGTTCGCAAAATAGAATAAAATGCATAGATTGACCAAATCCATTTACGAAGAAAATCTTCTTAATGATGAAAACTACAAACCAATGCAACCACAGGCCAACCTCTGGGCATGGGACAGTGAGCAGTGACAGGAGTCGGCTCTCGTAGCCCACACACACACACAGACAGAACAGCAAGCAGCAGTTATCTTTGATCTGAACGGTTGGACTCGACTCTATTGTGACTTTGTTGGCATGCTGTTTTGGCAACAAAAAATTCATTTACCATGTCACACAGCCTTTGTGGCATCAAGAACGCAGCTGGCGTGCCCCAAGGATAAGAGTGAAACGATGTCCATGCAGTGCTGGTCAAACAAACCGAAAGGGGAGAATACTAGGAATTCATTTATTAAACGTGCACTGACAAAGGCCGACAACAATTTAAACAGCAGCAGCAGCAGGAGCAGGAGCAGCTGTTGATATGCCTTCTAGGCGTGATGGAAAATAATTTTTAAATAAAACAAATTAAAAACGCATTTATATTGGTTCAAGCATTGTGGGCAGACATTGCAAAAATGTTGCTTTAAAGGATCGGCACAATGCCTTACACTCACACACACACATATAGACGAAGATATATATGTTATACGGCGCTAACGAGCGTCCATTATGCAAACAATAAACAACAACAACAACAACAACAAGCAAAACAGCCACACAACAACAACAACAACAACAACAACAATAAAATGGAGCAAACAGCCAAAAAGATGTATATATATCTATATACATATATATATATTGCGCATACGCCACGTTTTGCCACGCAGTGGCTTTCATTCAAAAATAGATTTATGTGTGGCATTTAAACGAAAGGACAAACAAAATCAAGAAATATGTTGCAGCATTTATCAAACGTGACGCATTCCACAACACTGTGAGCCCTTGCCGCGACTGCTGCTGCTGCTCCTGCTGATGCACAGGTTTGACATCATTATTCCTCAACGACAACAACAACAACAATAGCAAACACAGCAACGAGAATATGCGGGCACTGCATTTCGGTATCATTAAAATGTGATCACTGCGCATTAAAGTTGTAGTCAAATGAGGATGTGTGCGGACGAGGAGAGCGTCAGGCGTCACCATCTTGGCAAGCAACAATTTGATTTAGTGGCGCGCATTATACTCTGCTCCCGTTCTATATCTGGGTGAATATGTATATATATTGTTAATATATACATAGACATACATGTGGGTGCGAGTGTGTGTGTATGTGTGTGTGCCTGCAATAATGTCAACAATGAAGCAACCCCACTCGACATGCTGTCACATCCTGTCTGTGGTGGCTGTGGTGCGCTGCTCACTCTTGTGCGCCAGTGGCAGCGGCAACATTTACATATAGCATTTTGCTCCACTTGTTGACTTTTTGGCCACGGAGGTCGCGATTTGCATGATATTCGCATTTATGAGCTTAATTTACTATTATATAATGAGGCAATGCGCAAAGGCCCATGTTACGCACTCGAAATATTATTGGGACAATGGTGCGTGTGTGAGTAAGACAGAAGAGATAGAGCTTAGTAAGAAACTCACCTTGACTCCAATGTGAACCGGTGTGAATTCAGTTTTATGTATTGAAGGTATTGGTATCGGTAATGGCATAGGTAAGGGGCAGGACATCATGGTCGCTACCTGTGGAAACAAGAAAATTGAAATGAAAACAGAGAGACATGTTAGTTAATTAGTTGATACAAGTAACTGGAGTACATACATTGTGTAGTTGATATATAATTACTGTTAGCATAGCATTAATAAAGATAATAAAAGCATTAATACGAATATAGTTAGTGTTTGTTATTATGAGAAAGTCAAAGGATCGAATAGAATGAAGCAAAGGGAAAAAGATAATATTGTTAATGTTAAGCAAATATTAAACAAGTAACAATGATTTAGTTTGGGACGTAAGATGCTTTAATTTTTCGATTTTAGAAGGGTACAAATTAACGAGAGTCGACTCTATTAAACAAGTAAGAAAGGTTTAGTCTGGGGTAGGATAGTAATCAATAAAGCTCAGAACAAGACTCTTCATTTTATATTATTTTTTCCGTTGAGCGCGTTAAGTTTAACGAGTCGTATGTTACTCTCTTGTAGAACATAGTTAAGGGAGAGATACACATTCTTCATATTCACATACACATGCACACACTCAATTCAAGTACGCTATTGATGTCTTTACTCAAAAAAAAATTTGCATATATACATAGAAAAAAGTTGTTTCGAAAAAAAAAATCAATCAAACGATCGGGGAAAAACGAGAGCGAAAAAAAAAACATTTCACACCGATCGAGAACGAACTCGATCAAATGATCAACTGTCAAAAGCCTCATAAAAATTATTTATGTAATTAAAAATCTCATTATTTTATTATTTAATTGTTTATTTCATTTTTTTTTAAGTTTTTAATTATTATTAAATTTTTTGAAAACAGTTATTAATCATATAAAAAGAGATGAAATTGTCTACTTACTAAAATTTCTATAAAAAAAATTGTTTAATTTTCTCTAAACTGCTATACTTTTCTTCAATTGAAATATCTCATACAAAATCCTGTTCATGCTTTAAAGCAAATCGCAAAGCAATTCAATAGTATCTCTATAGATTCATTCATTCACATTCTTTGTCAACATCACATAATACAGAGAGTAAACTGAAATAGTTTCAGTAACCTACATAGCCTATTATAATGCGGATATAAGGATCGACTTTTATGGTAGACAGTGCAATCGAGCCAAGCCAGGAAAGCGGTCAACATGACCATCAAATAGTTGACAGCTTTTAGCACTATGTCCTACATAAACTGCTTCCTGYTGCCGTTGCTGCTGCTGCCCCTCGCTGCTGGTCAAGCTAAAGTCACTGCCCACTTTCTCTTTCCCTGGTGATTGACACAATGAATGCCGACTTGTCCAACAGTTTGCCAATTCTGTTGGCATTGCAATTTTTCGCCTTTTCAATTTCACGCGTTTTAATAGCACCGGCAGCAGCAACAGCAGCTACAGCTCTGCGTCCTGCACAACAGCACAAATCACAGCCACATTCCCATTGCGTGCACATCCTTCGCCTGCACCATTGCTCGCCATTTTATTTGGCATCATCACTCCCATCACCATCATCATCATCAGCAGCAGCAGCAGTAGCTGTAGTATCATCATCATGGCCATCATCGTCATCATCATTGTCATTTCCGCTTTTGCGTAACGACGTCAACGTTTTTGATGGCTTCATTTCGTTGCGCTGCGTTTCGTTTTGGGACAGCGTTTGGCAAGTAAATCATAACTGCAGCTGCAGCAGCAGCACAACCCCAAATCCACACACACACACACCCCTCCCCCCCCTTCCTACCGCACTAGCACACCCATTCACCGATAAAAAAAACTTTTCGACTTTGTCAGAATACGAGCAGCGCTTTAGACTGCCAACTACAAAGTAAAAATCGCAACGCAGCGCAGCGCATTGCGAAGCTTGAAATTAAAATTGAATGACAAAGTGGCAAATGTTGTCAAAACTTTGCATTGCTCTTGGCAACAACAACAAGCCTTAGCAGCAGCCGCAACTGCCACGAGCCATTAAAGAAAACCAGAAGCAGCAGCAGCAGCAGCAGGAGGAGAACAGCATTGCCTGCTGCACTTACAACATTTCAATTTCCGCACTTGATTTCGGTTTCAGTTTTCAGTTATTCCACAAGTTTCACCACGCAATATGTGAGTAATTGTTGATTGGATTTTGAAAAACAACATTTTTAATCGCATTACCGCAGCGCCAAGGTGGTCTTTGAGTCTATTTTGACAGCACTACACAAATGGGAAATCCTCAGAACGTATCGATTACACACAACTGCCTCGCACTTAGGTGAGTGCCTAGACATAGTTTTGTCTCCCTCTTGCTGTCTGTTTGTCTGTCTGCCAGTCTGTCTGACTTTCTGTCAGCTCGGCTGTCAACTTGTTTATGCAGACATTTCAAATGGTCTGAGTAAATTGTTTTAAGTGCTGCAAGAGTGTCGCTTACATATGTTGTGCGCCACAACTAATTAATAGAATTCTGCGGCTGAGGCAACCAAAAGTGGCAACAATCATCAGCATTATCATCATCCTGCTTATGCTCATCATCATCGTCATCATCATATCAAAGCTAGTGAGTGGCAAAATGCGGCCAGGCATGACCGCTTGCATTTTAATGACGACAACAAACGGAAATTGACGTTGCTTGACTTGCCAACATTGTTGCTCGTGTGTAAGTGCTGGTTCTTTAATGGTGACACGCGACACAGCAGCAACAGCAGCAGCAGCAGCAACAACTCCAACCGACGAGCCGAAAACAGAAATGGCACACATGTGGCAGCCATATGAATACATGGCAAAGTGCGATTGTTGCAAGTTCATTTGTTGTTCAGCTCTAAGTCCAACAACAACAACAACAACACCAACTACATGCAGAGTGACATTGATGCATGACCCGGACCGGGTCAGACGGGCCACCCACGCGTTAATTTGTCGAGCTTTATGTGGCCGCTACGTTTGGCATTTAAGCAGCATAATAAATGCCAGGCAATGAGACTGAAGCGCACTAACGGACTCGGCTCGTGCTACAGTTGGCTGCTGACTGCTGGATGTTCCCATCGTACAACACAATACAAATGCGATCCATACCATGATTAATGTGCTGTTAACTTGCATGCATCATGCTGCATTCAGCATGCACCGTGCAGCATGCCCCATGCCTCATGCCTCATGCTGCACATAGCCCAGAGCTAAGTAGCGGCCTGTCGCTCTGTTGTCATTGCAACAAGTTCATGGCATTTGCCGTTGCATTTTCCGCACTGTCAACTATGCGCACCGCATTGCTGCGGGGCAATGCCAACATTAACAACAACAATAGCCCCAAACAACAACAACAACAACAACAGCATTAACAACAGCTGCACCAGCCAGCCGCGTACCAAATGAAGCGAACATTTTTGCACACGTAAATTGGCAATGCAATGGAAGGTAGCGAGCCGTGCGGGCGGGATGATGATGACTGTGGGTCGGCATAGCTGCGCCACTGGCACTGTTATTATATATACACACAGGTTAATGAACAGCTGGACAGCCCGATGATAAAAGTTGGGGCGTGAGCTGCGCTCTACGGCTGGCTAACTAAATGACTCACTGACCACAACGAGCTCAACTTAATTTAATAATATATAACGTAAATAATAGCTTTAAAAATGTAAGCCAGCAGAGAAAATCCTTTAAAATAACGCAAACACTGACATTTATGAGATAAAATTGGTTATTGTAATTACAATAAATTGAAAATTCCAGGTCAATGCAAATTCCAGCGAAGGTGTAAAGAAAAATATTTTTACAATTCCCCTCTGATTTTATCAGAATAAAATAAAAACACTTGGGAGCATCTTATGTATTTATATGCTGGTAGTTTCTAAGGACACATCCATTTAGTAAAAAGCTAAACAAAAATAAAGAGCAAACAAAGCTTTGTTTACATTAAAGCTTTATTTATAGTTTAATAGGCTAAAGTTGATAGGCTTTAAATTTGATTTAAATAAAACAAAAACTTTAGTTCATTGTTAATTCCAATAAAAGTGTAAAGAAAAATCTATTTACAACTAAAGTTTGTTCTTATCATAATAAAATAAAAAATATTCTCAGAAAGTAACTAAATAACAAACCCATTTAGCTTAACAATCAAGAGTAAACAAAACTAATTTTTTTTAATAGAAAAAAGTGCTTTTAACTAACTTAAATCAACTATTTTCATTTCCCCCAGCACAATCAAATACAGGTAAAAACTGAGCAGCTCGTCCCTTTGGACTGACAAGGAAAAGCTGTCCAGGAAAAAAAGAGAAACGAAAAAAAAAAGGTTTAAGCCGCAGATTTGCATAGTCAATACCATATATCCAGCTTATGCACAACACTAACAAAAGGAACTCAAGGGCTTCGCCGTCCGGCTCCAATCGAAGCCCCAGAGCTAGGCGCATTTAAAAGCTAAAATCGTTTATATTTGTGACACTTAACCAGCAGCAGCAGCAGCAGCAGTAGGAACAGCAACAGCAGCAACAGCAACAGTTGCTGTGGCAGCAAAGCAGCAGAGAAAAAGGAAAAAAATCAACAAGAAGCAAATGTAACCCAAGAATTGTAAACTGAATTGTGCAGCTTTGGCATGGGAAGTGAAGTGAACTATGGAAGTGAAAGTAAATAAAAGGATGAAGAGATGCAAAAATGATGAGTGAGTGAGTGTGAGAGAGAGAGAATGAACGAGAGTGGGATGCGTCACTTTATGCAAAGAATAGCACCCATATTTCTCACAAATCCCCACAACTGTGCTCAAGCTTAATGCGCTGAGAAAACACGGCAAGAAGCTGCCGAGCAGCCCAGCCTGGGCAGCAGTAAAACTTGTTGCCGGCTTGCAAAAGCGAAAGGCAGCAGGCAGGGGCAAAGGCAATGTAAAACGAACGAAATTGAAAAGCAAAATGCAGCATTTGCATAAATTCAGTGCATGCTGCTGATGCTGTTGCAGGTGCTGTGGGTGGGTGCAGGAGTTGGTGCCGGTGCCGGTGCCGGTGTCGGCGCTGATGCCGGCTATTGAACGGAAGCACCCAGATAATAATGATAAGAGACAGGCGTAGAGTAAGC